GAGGGTGGCTTCTTCAGTGTCATCGACTTGCGTGGTCCCTCTGTCATCTTCCAAATCTCCATGACTGAATTTGCTCAGCAATCCAAGAGATCTTCTTTCTTGAAAGGATCTCATGGGAACGCCCATGGAAAGGAGTGGCCCGTGGCCATTGAGTTCAGCGTCATGACGCTGGAAGGCGACAACTACTCTAGTATCTGTTGTTTTGTGGGAACGAACCTCGGCAAAGTGGCCACGTTCAAGCTGTTGCCGTCTGGCAATAGCTACTCTGTCAAGCTAGCTGGCGTCCAGCATTTTGATGGCCAGGTAGTGGCACTCTGCCCCATCCAAGCAGACTCTGGAAGACCTGCTTTTGCAACAGGTCCGATTGTAGCGGGACTCAGAAACGGGCAGCAGGTAAATGGTGTTCTCGTTGCTGGTAAGCCCTTTGGATACGACACTTGCGCTGGCTGGTACTGACAAATGACTAGTGACACAAACCGAAATTCGAATCTTCAAACCCGCCGGCGGGAAGGGCGCTTCCAAAACCTTTGACGACGTCCTCTGCGATGCAGCCAACGTCACTGAGTTCGAGCTTCACGGCTTCGCCATTGTCGGTGTTTTCGGTGATCGAACCACTCGTGCATTCTCCATTCCTGGTCTCAAGGAAATTGGCAATGCACCGATCCCCATGCTCGATGGCAGTCGCACTCTGTCGTCCGTAGTGACGCAGACTGGCGATATTTTCGGCTGGACTGGCCCCAGTGAGATTGCTGTCCTGAATGTCTGGGGTACTGGCAAAGATCTTCAGATAAGCGACGACATCCTCGTCAACCCCGAGCTCGTCACACCCCCGCGCCCCACAATCTCGAACATGCAGTGGCTTTCCGGCACGCAGCATATCTCTCCGACAGATCTTGACCTCCTCATCGACCCCAACCGTCCGCCAAGCCGGCGGATGATGGCTGCCGCGGCAGCTGAAGCGAGAGCTGCCCGCTCTGCAGGCCAGCCCGGCTCGAGTAATGCGGGAGGATCCAACGAAGGCTGGGGCGATTATCTAACGAGGCAGCTTAATGAGCGCACGGAGAAGCTGAACATCATGAGCGATAACATGGATAGTTTGCAGAATCAGAGCCAGGGCTGGGCAGACGACGTTGGCAAATACATCAATAAGCAGAAGAGGAACGTGGTCCTGGGAGGGCTTAAGAGCAAGTTCTTTTAAACTGGCTACGACGAAATGAATAATGGCTGCTACGGCCTCGAAGGGATATCTCGCTAGAGCTTTGTGTAACTTTAAGGGCGTTAGGTATTGAGATTTTCTCGCTCCCATTGATCAAAACGAGATGAGTTTTCCATTTTGGTAACAAAGAGTGTGTGCCTCGTATGATCCATGCTGTCTTGATGATGAGCAGTCTGCTGCAAGGGACCGACTTGAGCAAGATTGCCTGAACTTGACCCCTTTGCTCAATATTTCCTTCAAGCATGGCTACGCCCCTCTACACCACCAAGCATCCATATACCCTCCTACCAACAACCCCTTTGTTAACAACCATGAGAGACATAAATCAATCCCGGCTCTTTCAGATTATTTGCCATTATTCATGCGTATTGGGTCGGTGGGACCGATTCGCTTCGCATCGATCGCATCGATTGCCGTGGTAGTACAGGTTTTTTCGGTTCGGATCTTCTAAGCTATCGTGTTCTTCGTTTCGAGGACTCGAGGAGTTCCGTCGTCCGGGCTACTGCGTCAGCCGACAGCTTGCGGGAAAGGGGGTGCTTGCCTGATAGTCTATACACTCACTCAGCAGAATCTTGTGCTGTGTTTATCGTTAATAGATAAGTACCTGGTGGAGGAGAGTTTGGTTCTAGGCTTCCGCGTCAGTATTAGGGTTGGGGTGCTTACCTACTCATCGCTAAAGCGCCTGAGAACTAAGTATTCTGTTGTAGGAGACCTGGAGAAGATTGCTTTTAGCGTGTGAGAGGGGGCTGAAAAGACTTGCGGTTTCCCTGGCAATAGTTGTGGTCTGAATCATGCAAAGTGACACGTGAAGCCCTGTGATTAGCTTTGTACACGGAGAAGTAGAAGACTCACAGAACAGGAGATCATGAGTGAATGGCTGGGGGTTTGGTATTCTTCCTGAAGCTATTAGCGTGACGAGAGAGGGAGGGAGGGCTTACGGATAACTTGAGTCCGAACAAGAAATAGGACGGGAACACCATGTTCTAGATCTGTTTAGCAAGGAGAGAAAGGAAGCTCAGGGTATGGAGCCCGGCAATCGTTTTCGTTTGTAAGAGCCTATAGTTAGCAGTCTGGCAAGAGATGTGGGAAACTCGCATTCGAATTTGAAGGAATATAATTCAATTTCAGAGGTAGTGGTCTTAAATTTCTGTCCAAGTCAGCGGAGGATGGGGAGGGAGGACGTACGTTAAGAGTCGAGTTCTCCGAGGAAACCGTTGTAGTCCGAAAGCGTTTCATTCGCTGTGCTGGTTAACGAAGACTGAAGGGGCTGGGAAACTTACGAGTGTCAGTTGTGATGAGATAGTGGGAGCTAACGCTGACTCGTCGAGGGCCTGATTTCTGTCAGTGAGCTAATAGGATGGCGTCACTTACGCGCAAAAGTTGGGGAGATCTGGCTGCAGAGTGGCACAAGCCACGTTGAGCCCGCTAAGAATGGGAGTTTGGAAGGCGGAAAGGCCAGAACGCTTGATTTATGGAGAGGAGATGACACCTAAAACTGTGGCATGTCTTGATGTTAGTGAATAGTGTCGGGGAAGCTCTCACCTGCATACTGGATAAAAGTCGAACTAATTGATGTCGAAGACTCAAAGTGCGGGATAAGGATGGAAGAAAACTACACCGATGGCTGGAAATCAACCAGAATCTATATAGAGTCATTTCTTAGAAGCTCAGTTCTTCAAGTTCCACCGAAGTCGAGTCTTCAACCCCCGTTTCATCCGTCACATGCTTTGTATACATTTTCCTTGTCAGCCAGAACCGAACAAGAGGCCGAGTTCACAAGTGCCTTGTTTCGAGGACCAAGACTGGAGACTGGCCGGGGTGGCTGTGGGTGAAAGGCGACATTGTATCGGGATTTCTCCGAGTCTTGTGTTCTTTGTTTTCTTGTTCCTTCTACAGAGTCGACCTCAAACGTGGCCGTGTCTTTGGGGGGTTCGCGTTGTCAACTCCTTGATATCTGAAAGCTCCAGCTCGGACCATATCTTTCTCCAGCAGAAAGTGAAGACTAGATCCTCTGTTTTCATTGTGACTTTACGTCAAGAGACTTCCCTTTCTTGCATACAATTTTTCAAAAACTTTAGAATCTCTGCATCATCAGTATTTCCTATCTCTGACGCCTTTGTCATCACACATTCCCGGGATCGGCACCTATGCACATACCTGTGAAGGAGAAGCCCATTGAGCGGGCAAAAGTGGCAACTGGCACCTGACTTCACGTGGTATATAAAGCTGAGCCCCGGCGTCAATCGAACGGTACGAAACTACAAAGCCCGACTTGTAGTTTGGTTGCACTTTTATACCTAGGACGGGATGATCTAGCCCACCACACAGTCCTGAAATTGTCCTGAACACTGAAAGGAAATTATAAGATTTCTTTATTGCTATTCTCGTCACGACTTCTGTTGAGTTCGTTGACAAATAGTTCAAGAGAGGGAAAGCGTTGCTGCCGTCGTGGTCCATACCCACTTCGGGTACCTCTTGCTCGTCCAAGTTACATGGTCCCTTGAAGATCAATGACATAATCAGCACCAGTGATTTCGCCAAGAACAACCAGCAATATGAAGCTCTATCCTGAGCATGATCTAGGATCCGACTGAGAGGATAGCTTTGATATACCCTTTCTGCCCTCTCCTTCCTCGTTTGAACGAGTTCTTGGTTTGCGCCGTCGCTATACAAAGCATGTTCATCAAGGACCTCGAAGACTGCTTGATGAGCAGGGCAGCCAGTACCGGCGGGACAACGGGCGCTAGGTCTTATATCGCGCAGTGAGACTGTGTGCGCTGCCTCTTCCCCCCCTATCTGGTGACCGAACCCTTTCTGCAACTTGCAACCGTAATCTGTGACTCTTTAACGGCCTTACTTTTCGTTCCTCGTCCCAACCTTACGTATTCGTGACCAAATACGTTAAAATTGTCGAGATAGCGTTTCGAGCACTTCAAGACACACCTCTAGGAAAGGAAGATGATACTCTGGATAGAGTAGAATAATCAAGCGAAGCGGGTTCCTGGTTTATTTTATAATTGACACCTTTTCATAACTATAATGTGAAACTCTTTAATCACCTCACTTCTCTATTCTCAAACCCTCCCCCACGTATCTGTGACTGGAAAATGTTGTTGAGATAGCGTGCTACGCACTTAAAGCATATTCATGGTAAAGAATGATGAAAATTCACATAGAGAAAAAGAATCAATAGATGCGGGCTCCTGGTTCATCTTAGAATTAATAACTTCCTCCTAACCCAGCGTAGAGTTCTTCAAAGATGTCACTTTTTTGTTCCTCACTACCTCCATACCGTATTTGTACCTAGACACGTTATTAAGGGGGCGCGCTGAGCACTTGAAGACACGACTCTAGCAAAAAGAAGCCTACCGTGAAAAAGATGGCTTTAAAATTACAAAGACCGAGCCGCTGATAGCTGATAAGATGGGAAATATGGTGAGTTTCGAATACATAGCCTCTTTGTAGTTAAGTTGTTTAAGGGGGGGTGGGACTTTGACGGAAGCGGACCCCAAGAGGGACATCTCTCATGTGACGGCTTCCAAGACATCAAGAGCGGCTGAGAGTATAGGAATCTTGAAGGTTCTTGAAGGCACATCAGGTATTATGGATGGGATACCAGAGTAGACTCGAGCGTATCGAGCAGCAGACCAAGTCATGAGCTTAGATTGAAACAAGATACCAATGGCTCAATATGCCTAAAGCCTTTTCCTATAAGACGTATGCTTTTGGCAGAATCTAGCGAGTGACAACATATCTTGGGCATATCCAGGGAAGTACCTACCTACTACCTTGCCCCTGAATGGGAGGGGTCAGCGGAACATCCTGCATACCAGCTGCAATCGCTTGAATCTGCGGCGTCTTACCTTGCTTCCTCTTTTTCTCCTCGCTGAACCGCGGAACACGGTCACCGCCATCCGCGACATCACCCTCCTCAACCCCGCCATTCAAATCCTCCTGCGAAGGCTCTTCAACCACAAAGACGTCCTCATCCTCACGCAGCCGTCCATTACCCGAAGCAGAGCCGACATCAGTTACACCAGAAGTTTGTTCCCCCTGCCAAGGCTCGAACCGCAACTGATTATGGCGCGGGTGCCGACCGTACTCCTTGATGTAAAAGTCGAGCGTCATCTGCAAGTTGCGACAGTCCTCGCGGATGAATTCGTGCTGGTTCTTAAGCGTCTTATGGACTTTTTCGAGCGTCTCAAAGTCGATGGCGAGGGAGCGGAAGGATTTCTTGTCGCGGGCGAGGCAGATGCGGAAGTGGACTGCGAGGTAGATTGCGAGGATGCAGATGGTTGAGACGGCGACGAGGCCTACTAGGAGGCGCTTGACCCCTACGCAGTTGACGCCACCGAAGTCGCCGTAGTCTTCGCAGGAAACGAGCATGTCTCTGAGGAGTTCGCCAGGAGGCATTTTTGGGGGTTGGTTCTGTGGATGATGTTAGCAGAGAGTGGGGTTGGAGTTGTACCTGATATGTTTATGTGAGTGTTTGTAGGCTGTTGGCTTTTGATGTCTGATATGCTTTAGAGTAGAGAAGAAGAAACAACAGCCGGTGAATCTCTGGACTTATAATGATTCTCTTCGAAGAATCCAGACTACTCGGGTCTGGTACCTCAGCCATAATTCATTGTTTCTGGAACACAAAATATGGAGATATTGAGTTTGAGTGAGTTTCTCCAGGGTCTTTGTGCGTCCCAGACATGATGTCTGACAAAGGAAGCTGTCAGACTTTGATCAGCATTGATTGGCTAAAAGATCTGTGACTGATGCATCCGCCTTTGACCAGGACACAAGAGAATCGAGAAGATCAAAGAGGTCATAGAACAACTGACCTTGAAAATGTATGGACATACTGACCAGTCACAAAGTGTCCACTGGAAGTAGCTTCATATCAGTTGGACTAGCGGAAACCAAGAAGCCTTCAAGGTTGGCAATAATACCTTGGCAAGGCTCCGAGGAAGCCTGCCTTGGCTTGGTGTTGACCGATCAACCGAAAGTGTAGTCACTAGGTACTCACAAGTACACAAAAGGTGTCGCGCAGCGAGGCGTTTGGCCGGCAGGATCTTGCATCCTGTTCTGGATCGATATATAGAATAGCGGTCTGAAGAAGCGCGGAGGAGCGGCAAGAATGTCACTTGCCGCAACACGATAGAAGCGAGGCGTAAGCTGCACCTGTCCCGTTTCGGATTCCGTGTGGCAGCAAGTTGGGTTGCTTTGTGAGTGACCCACTCACGAAAGTCACCAAACTGGAAAAGAATCCGGCAAGTGAAAGTGACTGAAGAGGCAGGGGTCGAGAGAGCCTGCGCGCCCGCTTCGAGTCGGCATATTGCGGCACAGCAGGGGAGCCTGACGGCGCACCCGTTCTCGCCGCTCCCGCCGGCGCATGCTGTGAGGGTTTCCCCCAGGGGCCGCGTCGTTTTACCGAGATGTTTGCTCGATCGCTCCGGCAATTGCCCTTGTATATAAGGGTGACACCAAAAAGTGCAGGTGCTCAGGGGTAAGCTCCTGAGGCTCAAGAAGATGACAACCGGTCAGATACTAGCTCGTCGTGACCTGGGCGTAGAAATTCATAATCAGGACCGAACGTGGTGCTGTCAACGTGATCAACACAGCCGCAAAGAAGATCAAGATTGCTGTTGCCTCTCTTGCCTCGCAATGTCTGGCAACTGGCTGTTCCAAGCCCGGAAAGCAGCGGTCAAACCCATGTGCGTCCCACGGCCGTCAAGAAAAAAGCAATGATGAAAGTGCAGATTTGGAAAAAGTAAACTGAGGCCCGCTATCGATCCATGAAGAACAAGCAACCTATACGGAAACGGTCGATTGCATATCGATCTGCAAAGATGGTGCCCGGTGAAAATGGCACTTTTCTTCGTCACTCACCGCCAGATGGCGTGCAAGATACGAGGCTGTCTTGGTTGCTGGGTTTCAAGATGTCCATGGCGGGCTTTGGACATGCTTCATGGATGTGGCGTGTTTCAAGTTCTAGGGCCTTTCAATTGGTAAAATTCGTGTATCTAGCTCGACAGCGGCCAAGATTTGGAGGGGCTATCTTTCGATGGGCTGGCGAGCCCAAGACCGGTCAGGGATGGTGGTTGCAGCCAGCATCAGGCAGGACCGGTGGGCGAAATTTTGGCGTGTTGGTACGGCCGCATGATGCACGGCCACCATCTAATAACCCAAGTCGCGGCGAAGAGGGGGGATTGAGAGAAGGAGACCATCATTTCGGGATACCTTGGTCTCCCGCGTCGTGCGGACACGTTCGCAGAAGGACTCTTTCGGGAGCCGGTTCGACTGCAGGAAGCGTTATCAGGTACGCCTGGTGAGTAAGTCGGCGCTGGATGGTTGAACATTTCCTCTCTTGCATTTGATGTAAAGCTGGTCCACTTGTGCGGTTGCTTGCATAACGGCGGGATGCGGTATTCCGTCCGCCCAGTTACTCGGGCTCGAACGGTACTTTAGAGGTGCCACTCAGCACGCGCGCAAGAACATGGAACATGTTGATGTTAAGCGATCATTACCAAGTCTGACATCCGGCGGCTGGGATTGTTCCGGCCAAAACAATATCAAGCTGACTTTCTGCCAATAACGTCAGCTACGAGCTAGATAGGAACATCTCGTCGATGTATCTTTACCACCAAGTCATGGCCAACCTGGGCGTGTCGCTAGGGCTGCACGAACCGATGCATTCCTGACACTAATCTCAAGTTCAGACGGCAGACCAGGCTCAGATGGCTGGACCTGCTCATCGAACACTCCAACGACGCATCTAAGCACCGAAGCAGAGGACCGATAGATGGCGGACAAAAGCGTAGTGTGTACGGCTTGCGCTGATGTGGGCGAGATGTCATGCATCATACCCTCCAGGCTTCTCTAGGGTTTCTCTCTTAGTTTCTACGGCAAGGTAGTGTCAACAAGGCGATGACAGGGCTTAGGGATTGAGTCAAGGACTCAGAGAAATTGTATGCCACGTGGCGCCGTGGCATCGCCGTCAAGGGTGTCGGGTTAAAAGGCGTCCTGTTGCGCACAGGGTTCGGATGTTTGCTGATGCTGGCAAGATTTACCTCCAGCTTGGTGTCAAAGGTCCGGGGGTGCTTGGAGAGGTGCCGTACGGATAGAGTGTGGAGTCAAGTCTAAATGTCAAAGCTCAGGAGCTGGCAGGGGGAGAGATGACAAGGTGAAGGAGATTACGACATTGCGAGTCCCTGGTCTTGCTAGGCCGGAGATATGCGTCTATACCTGAGGCACGCCGCACAAGACAACCTCAAGTACGTACTTTTGATGCTGATGAGAACATATTTACCTTGTAAGGTAGGTATCCATACGGATACCAGACGTACAATATGGAAATGACCAGGGTGAGGAAGGTCGCCGGGAGCTCGGCTGGGGTGACTCCATCCAGAAGAGAAGACAGAAGCTCATAACAGGGGTGGCCCTTGGAGAAAAAAAAAAAGACGCAGGGGATGGGACGTTTCCTGGATCTGACCTGACCTACGCCTTGAACCCCAAAATGGAACACTCACCACCACACCCCGTCCATTCCCCCACCCTGCTGCTCTTTCCATTTGGCACAGAATCCATCTGGCACGAATCCATCTGGCACGAATCCATCTGGCACGAATCCATCTGGTACCTCAGGTACCTGTCCGGCGTCACTCCAAAACTTGGAGTAAGGTAAGGCAGGTAGGAGGAAGCCGCTGACCCTGCCCTTTCCTGCCTCGAGTGGCACACGGAAGGTACTTACTCCTCATGGGCAGTCCGTCCTCACCGCCTTCCATCTGCTCGTATGGTTCCATCCGAGCCGGCATCGTCTCCGCCCTTTCCATCATCATGTCGCGGCTTCACCGGGCTTAGCCCTCAGCCCGCTGTACGGATACCTAGGTTATGTCACTTTTTCACACGCTATCACGGCCTTATCTCAACAAATTTGCCTGGCACTCGTCAGTCAAAGGTAGTGTGCTTTCTCCAAAGGCCGCTTCCGCCGCTACGGACACGGTTTACCACCCGGAGCGGCAACCCTGCCTCGATCCCTTCGACTAATCCCAACCACCTACAGCAGCTTCGGCTTGTTTCGAATCTAATCTGCTGATCGTGAGTTGTTCACTCCTTTGTATTTCTTTCCTAATGAAATGACGCTGTCTGCCCTGGCCATGTAGCTACAGGGGCCAAATTCGACCGCCAAACCTCGCTCTACCATCGCCCGTTCATTTCAGAGCCGGCATTTGCCTCCCGGCTTTGCCTCCAACAACGCCCGCCACAACTTGACGACTGCGGGCTGATCGGTTACCAGCCCGCTCCCCGCTGCTACCCGGGGTCCACGGACGAGATCAAGCAATTTATGGCGGTCTCTACGAGTGGCTGCCCGGGGCAGGAGAACAGTCACCCTCACCAAACGTCCTCCCACCAAGTTCTTCCAGAAGCATTCCACAGCCTTCTCAATCATTCCTAGTTATCGGCTACCCTCGATTACGCAGTGTGGCGCACGAGGTAGGCGATCGACCTCTTCGAAAGCTCACCGCTTCTCAGCATTGAGCGCCTTTGGCACCAAGCCTCCCGCACTGAAGGACTTCTTCACCACGTCTGCGCCCGATGCGCAGCAAGACGCATCTGGGTGTAAGGCTACCAGAAAATTGTCGCCCTTTCCCCCGCATTTCATCGAGCCCGCCCTGTTCTCTCCTTCAAGGATGTACTGAGCGTGAACTCAGGACAGTCTGGCCCATGAGGGTGACATTTCTGCAAGTGGAAGACAAGACATAAGCAAATCCCTGCAGTAGTCTGCCTGCAAGCTTCTCGGTCGCAGTCGCGACAAGAAAAGTTTTGGATCATCCCCATCCAATTTGGGGGCTTTTTCTAGGGTGGTCTTGTTGCTCTGCAGACACCTCACCACCGGTCAAGATACCACCTAATTACCTGCCAAGCACAATCTTCCACTTCCGGCTGACCTTTGCGTTACCTTCTCTCCTCATACTCCCAGCACCCTTTTTCTCACATCCGCACCACCCTTTCCCCCAAAGGTCTCTCCACCATGTCTTTCCCCTTTCAACAGCCTCCTAGAGGCAATGAGGCCTGTGTCTCACTCTGATGCATCCTACGGAATTGCACCTGTCATATTTGCCACTGCTTGACCATATTCGTTATGTACACGGCTCTGTTCCTGAATCTGTCCGACCGCTAAATCTGCAGGCAGGGAAACTGGATGCCAAGAGGCACATTGAATATCGAATCAAGTTTATTCTGGCAGTCAGGCATGAGGCCAAATGCCGGACTCAACAAATCAAGATACCTACAATTTCACAGGACGGAAACTTGGGTACCGGGCAAGTCGCCAAGTATCCTGGATAGTCGTCCATCATCCCACCTCCCCCTGCCTTTACTCTAGATGAACGACGTGTCCAAGCAGCCGTCACCCAGATCTCTCGGTACTCAGTGCCGCAGCCGCACTCTATGCCTTGGTCGCCGCCGCCCTTCGCCAATCTCTCATCAATCTCCCCCCCGCGTACTTTACGCCCTTTTGACCGCTTCCAAAAGGCGGCCAGATTTGGGCCGCCAGCAAGTCTCTTGTTCCTAGCAACACTTTCACCTTCACTTACTTAAACTCTATCATCCGCCACTGAACCTACAATATGAAATATACTCTATCGCTGTCTCTTCTCTCTTACTCTCTGAGTACCCTTCAAGAAGACTCCGACATCTCCTCATCGTCCGCCCAAAGTATACTTCACGTCTTAATTCTGAACGACCCCTCAGCTTCATCTCCGTCACTACGATTCATAATCATCACCGTCTCTGTACTTTTCGGTACCCTCTTTCCCTCCTTTAGAAACACACCACATCGTCATCATGCCCGCCAGCCACACATCCTCTCAGCATAACCATGCTGGAAGCTCGTAAGATACTGCTTCCATACTCCAACCGGCCCGAAGAAAATATCCTTTAGTCAGTGACTAACGTCTGGCGGCAGCAGTAGCAAGGCTGCTGAGAAGCATCCCTCCGACGGAAAAGCCTCCCGAGAAAGCCGTTTCGAAAGATTCATGAAGGATAACGAAGATAATCTATTTTCCCGCCTCCACGATGCCCAACCCATCTCTCAGAATCCCAAGTAAAAGCTCGGTCAATACCTCGCGAAACTCCCGTGAACGACTACGACCAAACACTCGTGCGCTCAAGCATACACCGCCACCATACACAGATCCCATGTACACTACAACCTGTCACCATATTTCCTTTTGGCTGGCCCAATCTCGTTGCCTTTTCATACGGCCCCTTGTAATAATGCCGTTGCTTGTTCCTTCATTTGTCAAGATTAGAGAGAATAACCCAGGGGCCTCAGTCTCTTTATCATTATGTAAGCAAGGAAGGATGTATCAATATCCAGTGTTCGCTAAAGGCATACCAAGGCTTGATGGAATTTCATGTATAAAACGCTTTGAAGGTTTTTTCATCTGAAAATAGACCCAATACCCCTTCTTTTCCAGATTCTGTCTGGCCCCCTCACGAGTCAACCGACCCTGTGCCAACGATCAAGACCCGGAGCCCACGACGACCCGTGAAGTGAAGTGCAATTTGCGATCAAGGAGGGCACCACACAAACAGACGGTCTTCGTATCGACTATGCTCTCGTATCTCACTTGCACGAACCGCCGCGCCAACGACGACTCATCATTACGCAAAGGCGGAAAAAGGCCCGATACGATGTTCCTTGGACATTGGTGACGCAAAGCGCGCGAGTGTCCACGAAAGACACGCGCGTCTCGACTGCTTAGTCCACGGAACAAGGCTCTTGCCAAGAGGAGCCGCGGGTCATTGGTCAGCTATCCGCGAAGCCGAACGGGAGGGCACGCGCGGCCCATTGTCCACATCCTGGTCCTGGTCCCCAACCAAACTTTGCTTTTACTTGGTCGAGTCAAAGTCCCGCACATTTGGGTGCTGCTTATCGATCTGCCCTTGGTACCATTCCAAACAACTACCGGACCAGTACTTCACTTTGCTCAATCCTAGGTAGACCTTCTGTCCCCCCACGACTCTTCTCCCACTACGAAGAGTAGGCAGTGGGCATCCTAGGCCGGAGAATGGAGATTGGCATTAACGTTTACAAGGTAGGTAGGTACCCAGACCTTGCACGATTTTCCCCACTGAACCCCGCGACGATGCTAATTGCTAGTGGGCCGCATACCTGGAAGGCGCTATCCCTGCACGCCCTACAGGGCGAGGAGAACTCGGCCGAACAAGGGCCGATGACATCGCTGGCCATTCACGCTCTCAGGAATGAGAGATTCAGAGACATTGTGATGAGTCCAAAAAAGCATTTCGTGGCCTTTAGCCTGCATGGTACTCTCTCCAGTTGAACATTAGGCCCGAGACGCAGCCGTTTGGAATGTAGCCAGCCAGTGCGCTTTCACGGTTGGTCCCCCGCGACTCAGGCGAACCGGCACTTTGTCAAGCGAAACAGAATCCCAGCACTTTTGATTTGTTCAGATCTTGGTTTCAGGGGGAAGCACGTAGATCTATCTGCTGCTCCCTCGGCACGATTTTAATCGGGACAATCCAATGACCGACCGCGCGATGATGATTCGCTCCTAGTTCTGACAAAGCAGAGCCGCTGACGCTGGTAGGAGGCGCAACATCCATGTCTGGCTGAATGCACGATTCGGGATACGACAGGACCCAATATTTGATTTGCCTAGATATCTGGTTGCCTCGCGTCCGGGTGAGCCGGGCCTGGGGGTTTCGTGGTACGCCAGGTAGCCCGCGTCCCCCGGGAATCTCTGCCATTATCGGGAGCGGGCCGTTGACATTCATGCGAGCAACGGCGCCGTTTGCCCCCGTCTGTGGGTCTGCACGGACAACGGATGGAAACGGTGCAGCCACAGCCGTCGTCTGTTTCCGAGACTTTGGGATGGAGGGTGGTTTTTTCTGCCCTTGTTTTGTGGATTGACGTGGCCTTAGTTGGAGGCTCGCTAGTCGCTTCAAAAAACGTCGTTCATTGAGTTAATTGAGTTTAGAGCGCCACAAGTGCAGGCTTTGAAACGACGTCAATCTTGTCTCGACCCCGCGATCATGTTCCCTTGGGTTCCTAAGTTGATACTTATTCTCGCATCTCGTAGTGTTTAAGAGAAGCGTGTAGTCAAAAATTGAGTGTCCTCGGTGGGTGCTCGAATATTGTATAACCCCATCCGACCGAGCCTTCCTACGGTGTCACATAGTACCGGCCGTGGATCTAAGTGAAGCCGATCCTAGCAGCGGATTTCCGCTCATCAATCTCCCTCATAAACGAAACAAGCAGGCCCTAAACCTCCTTCTTGTCTTGAAGAAAACATTTGGGAAAATCAAAAGAAAACGAAGGTGGGGCTGGTGACAACTTACTCGATACTTCACACCCCTATTCGGATTCGAACAGCGCGGCCACTCGGACCAGCACTGACTTCATTGGAGTGCTCGTTTGTAAAAATTCCGCGTCAGGGTTGCAAACACCCGGCCAAATGGGCCGGATGGACATCGAATGTCAAATCTAAACGCCTTTTCGGTTCCGTACTACCGCTAGCCCAAATTCCGACGTGATCCCGGGGACCGGCACAGAGATCGCCGAGCTTAAGATGAACTATTCAGGACCTAGACCTAGAATTACTATACTACCTTACTTTACCTTACTTTACCTGACTTTATAGATACCTCCCGTAGGCTTACTGCTACCTTATTTAGTATGGCCCACGGTAGTATATAAGACTGACTGGCTAACTGGCTAGTCCTTATCAGCCTGCTCTCCACCCATCCACGATTCCACACACACATATACGCAAACCGCTGGAGATCGTGGCCCCGATCGTATACGTAGAGTAGACATGAGCAAGCCAGTCAGATTGTTGATAAAGTCCGGTTGGCTATCCTGACCAGTCCGTAATTTCGGTACACCCTCTATTTCAGCTGCTCAACAAGGTCACGCTGCGGTCATCCCCAGCTTCTCCGCCACGGCCTTTAGGCTCTGTTTCTGGATGAGAGCGTACCAGTTTTGAATATCTACTGGCTTCTCCTCCAGTGCTTCCACGAAACCGGACAGATCTGGTTTGGGATGTTTCATCTGCAGCGGTCGTCTATCTTTGTCTCGAGACTGAATGTTGGACTGGAAAATCCCAGCCGCCGAAAATGGGAGGAAATCTTCATAAGTGATCGGGCGTGCTTCTACAACACCCTGTGAGATGAGGCGCTCAAGAGTGAGTTCATCGAGTTGCTGCCCGGCCTCGTTCAGGGACATTTTCCTGACGCAGACATATTCGCAATGTATCAGTCCCTCTTTCCTCAAATCAGTCCAAGTATCAGGAAATTGCTTGAAGACATCTTCTGCGAGCCCACCAGCCTCGTCAGGGCCAGCATTCGCCGCCATTTCCATGGTTTCTTGCAGTAGTCGTTCGTAAAGTACCTGTCCCCGTTCTGTGACCGCGGCGCCCCGCTCCTCAACCTCCCCGAAACGAGCCGTATGGCTGGCCTTGATCAGTCCGGGCCCAGTGTCAGAAGCCGAGACCAGACCGGGACCGTCGCTTCTTCTGAAATGGACATATTCTTCAAGGGCCAGAAAACTGGTCTGGCGCAGGAGAATGGGGCACTGGCGAATGGGCGGCCCTTCGATGCGTGCCTTGACAGCCATGCCGGCCTCCCTCATAGCAGCCTGAACAGCCGAAATGTCCAAGGTTCGAGGGGTGAGGTGGTTGATGTGCGCGCTCTGGAAAGATGCAATATCGGCCAAAATAAGATGCTCGGCCTTCAAAATGTTAAACTGGTCGAACGTGGCGGCAGCCACCGCCTGCCAACTGAAAGTTCGCAAGGCCTCTGGAACGAAAATGGCACCCTGCTCTTCTGTGAGCCTACCATTCTGTGTCTCGGCAGTGTCTAGAACTTCAAGGAGCTTGGCGGTGAATATGTTTCTTTTCTGGAGCAGTTCCCACGATAGCTGGCGTGCATCTTCGTCGGCGAGGAGATCTGGACGAAGCAGGGTAGTGAAGACTCGGAACGGGTTCCGATGAAGGCTCTGTACGCTCGTAGGGCGAAAGCATGTGGCATGCATCGGCAAGCCGGCGACGGATAAATCGTAGTACCCAACCGGGTGCATCCCCAGAATCGCAAAAATACGCTTTACTGTCCGGAGCTCGTGGGGTGTGCCTAGCCTAATGGCACCGTGACGTTCAAGCGTGAGCCTTTCTGCACTTGCCCTGATAGCGATTGTGTCGACGGTGAGGTCTTTCTCTTTGTTGCGGAGGACATCTTGGTTGACATGGCGCACAATATCGAGTAAGTTTCCATACAGCGGCACTTCTTGCTGATACATCGTCGACATTGCCATCGCGAATTCGGTCCTCAAATCATCAGGGTCCATAAAGTCAGCCGCGCCAGCCGGGGGTTGGCCCATCGTTTGTTGAGTGTTGACGGCGGATTTCATGACTAGATGCGAGTCGTTGATCCCTCTCATAGAAGCATTGATGGCGGCGATGTTTAATGCGATATTGTTGTGGCCTCATTAAATCTTCAGACGACGGATTTTGCTCTGCATGTACCCAACAGGCTTCGGTCACAAGAAAAGCGCCAACAGCGTCGCAGAATGGCCACGACCGTCATTTCTGAATAGATCGACTCATGTTATCATGATGCGGCGTTGATAGTTGGTGTAAATGCTCTTGTCCAGCGGCGCTACTTCTTTCCACCGAGGTTTGGCGCTCGGTGAAACGCTCCTTGACCGGAGCGGAGCAACCGGTCGTATTGACTCACATCGGACTTCCTGGCCAATCCCGGTCTTGGCGCTCGGCAACGCACTCCTCTGCCGAACGGGCTCCCAGTCTGTGAATCGTCGGGCAGCAGGTCTATCCCAACCTGAGAATAGTATAGCAAATTTTCAGCATGGCCAAGGCTTCAAATTTCCGAATAACTTTTTGGGGGCCGATGCAAAAATCGAGCTCTGGGTTAATCCTAATAGACATGGTTTTCTGAAGTTGGTTTGTAAAGGATTAAGCCAATACTGGGTATTTCCTACTCATAACACAGGACGCGACTTTGCAAGTTTTGGGATATTGACTGGACGAGGCTCGTCCAAGTATGTGAGCTTGCTCTTATTTGTGAAGCTGCAAAAATGTATCTTGTGCCTTGAAAACATCTTCAGGCGACTTGCCCACGAGATCCTTATAGATTGAAGAATCTGTTGCTCCTTCTAAACCAAAGATCACGCACTGGCTGTGCGCATCAAGACCCAGCTTTTCGCGAAAAGCCTCATTACTGCCCGCCTTGAGGAGGACACCCATGGTCGCGGCTGATGACTCTCCACAAACGATAGGAATGTCACCATGCTTGCCTTCCGCCAAGGCTATCATTCCATCCACCGCAACGCGGTCAGGAACAGCAATAAAATCACTAGTAAGCCACTCAAGAATCTTCCAGGCAGCAGGAGACGGGCCTCGGCATGCGAGCCCGGCCATCAATGTTCTCAGACTGTTGTGACTCGGACGCAACTCTCCGGCCTTGGCACATTGAAGCAGGCAGTCTGCCTCGGTCGGTTCGATAACGATACAACGCGGAAACGTATTCGAGTTATTTGACGCAGCAGCTTGGTTGAAATGTTTGTAGAAACCCAGAAAGATAGCTGCCGCAATACTGCCCACCCCGCCACACACAACAACGTGGGTTATATCCTGGATGCTTGGCAACATCTCGAGCGCCTCTTCAACAACCACCATATATGCGTTCATGACGTCCTGGGGAATGCCGTGATCGAAATCAGTCCAAGAAGTGCTGCTAACAAAGTGCCACCCATTGATTCGCGCATCCTCTTTGGCTCGGCTCACAGACTCGTCGTATTCTCCGTCGATTCGAATGACAATAGCGCCGAGATCCATCATCCTCTTGGCACGCCCGGGACTGACATGGCCGTGGATGTAGTCAACGCAGCGGCAGCCAAAGGCTTTGGCGCCGTATGCAAGTCCTCGCCCCTGATTACCGTCTGTAGCCACACAGACAGTCACTTGTTGCGTGATATGATGATATTTGCTTGTACGAAGCTCGGCTGACAACGGATAAACGCCGGTCTGACGGTGTACCTCATCGGCGAGGATCCGATACACCGCGAAGGGTGCACCCAGAGCCTTGAAAGAGCCCATGTCAGTACCGAACCGTCTGCTCTCATCTTTGATGAAGATGTTGCCAAGACCAAGCGCTTGAGCGAGGTGGGGCAGGTCTCTAAGTGGCTGAGGCCGATATTCGGGCCACGTCTGGATTTCTTTCACGGCAGGGCCCCAATTACTGAGATTCTGGACGCAAGGGGCGGCGGTCTTTAAAGCAGCCTCGGACAGCTGGCGGTCGTTGTGTTGATGAGAGTAGTCGATGGTCATGGTGTAAAAGCTGGGTTTAGAAAAGCAAAACATGCGACGTCACGTACAGACACTTGCCACAATTTGGTTATTTCCTATGAGGAGGCTTCACTCTTATACCTCCCACCTTGGAGTTTTTAACCGAATTCTCTCAAGTACGTCTATCGTGGGAAAGAATACTGTCCTAGAGTTGGTTATTGCTCTCTCTTCGGCCAAGCTAGTAGTTCCTTCGGCAAAGTGTTCAACCTCCGAAATCCTCTGCCCTAAGAATTATGGAGCAACTTTCCGGCAGATCGTAGTTTCACCGAGCACACGAACAAAGCAATCTGTAGGGGACTTAGATGTCATCCTCTTTCCCGATTATACCAAGCAACATTAGCATCAGCAGGCGAAATGCAGAGAACTCCAGAATCAATCTCTACCGGCAGTGCTACTAGAAGTATCCGCAGCGCTCTGCTCGCTGGAAAAAACACCGCGTGAGTCCTTCATGGGCGATACCAAGCGACCCAATGTCAGTAAAAGAGGCCCCCAACTGCTCACTGCTTCCATAGTTGTCATCGATGCCACGAAAGGAAGGTGAAGTGTAGCGGCGGCCGTCCGTGTCAGAATTGCCAACAGTCTGACAAAGCGAACGAGTGCTCGTTTCCGCAAAGGAATAGGACTGTAAAGGTCCCGCAAAGGTGAGCCGACATCCCTTCTACAAGACCGCATTTCATTGCTATGTCTCTGTTGCTAATGGTTCGTTAATCAAGTTTACTTGATGAACTATTCCAGGAGATTGATAGACTGAAGCGGCAGAGTACATCTCGGCCACATTCAGACGCCCGCACAGCGGAAAACGATGAGCCCCACGACACAAATACTCCCGAAGGAAGTGCCGTACAATCACTTCAGTCTCCCCTAGACCTTCAGCCAGAATCATCTGCAGAGTCCGCGGGAAACGAAACAAGTCCAGCAATCAGTATCGATCCATGGTTCGACAGTTTGAATGTCTTCAGAAGCCCTGTCCTCATCGGCGAGGCTGCCGACGCCGCTTTCGCAACTCGATTTCGCCAGGTCATCACGGACCCGTCAGCTCCCGAGCCTATCCACCTCATACGACTGACTTATGCCTCCAACGAGTCCATGATGTCGCTGGCTCATGTCAACACAACATGGCCTGGGCCTTCTCGCGCCAAGTTCCTGCTTGAGGCTGCCATGAAGTATATTGGGCGTTCATATCACATAGTGGAAGCACAAGCAATTACAGAAAGTTGGAAGCAGAATACTCATGACGCGAGCCCGGAAGCCATAGCCCTTCGTTGTAGAACTTGGGCCTTGTTTGCTATCGGGGAGCTCTACATCTCCAAATCCACCAGTGTCCACGGTTTCCCTGGAATGGCATACTTTGCGCAAGCATCCAAAGCTTTAGGATACCTTGATGAGCGCCCCGAAGTCGAAACCGTCGAGCTTTATCTTCTTTTGGTAAGTCTTTCCTGCGAAGCGTCCAGCGGCGACTAACCTTTAGACAGTCTTTCTACTCCATGGCTCTAAACCGACGATATAGTGCGTACGTCTTTGCGGGCACTGCCGTCCGTGTCGCTGTTGTCATCGGTCTACACCTCAACATCCCGGAGTCTCAATTGCCAGACCCCATGGTTCGCCGACATCGGAAAAGCCTCTTTTGGACTGCATATATCATAGACCGACTCTATGCTGCGAACCTAAATCACCCGCCGGCAATTCAAGATGATGACATTGGCGTTGACCTACCTTGCGAGCCATCTACTTCGAGCTCGGCCGATAGCCGTGGTGACTCTGATTACCATGTTGCCGATATCAGACTAGCTGGTCTACTTACTTCCATAATCCGGTCTGTCTACAGCGTCCGAACGCAAGCCGAAGGTACATGCGCAAACCTCTCAAGCCGCGTACAAGGCTGTCTCAAAGATCTACAATCCTGGTTTGAAATCTTACCTCGGCCGTTACAAATAGGAGATAAATCTCTGAACGAGCCTCATGATCATAAAGTTGTCTCTCTCCATCTGCGTTTCTATCAGGTTAGCCACTATCACCAATCAGGTGTTCTCTACGGTACCTCCAAGAAGCTGATCTTCACTAGTGTGTGATTTTAGCTACTCGACCACTTTTGCTGCACGCTTTGCGAATTCAGGTTGCCAGCTCGCGTGCTGGATCGTCTCCAGCAACATCCAGCATCCCTGCCGAAGCGACAGCACTGTCAAAGGCATGCATACGGTGCGCTCATCAGTCTACAAGACTACTCACGCGAGCATGGATCGATGGAATCTTTGTGACTTTTGATTGCTTCTTCACACAACACCTCTTCTCGTCATTGACGATCCTCGCCATTTCGAGTCTCTTGGATGGGATAGGTAGTCGTCATGATCGAGATGTTTATGAGGAGGCGTGTCGTCTCCTCGACCAACTAAAAATGGCTGGGAACATGGTGGCCCAGGAATATAGTCGCCATGTTGAAGTCATGGAGTCAACGATGTTGTCGAACCTAAAAGCACATACCCAATCCCAATCAGATGGAGTAGCGGACCCTTGCGACGATACTCTCACCCAGGAAATTGATCAAAACTTAGCTGATGGGGTAGTCCCAGCAGCTGGTATACCTTGGCCAGAGCCTTCGTTGCAAGAGCTGCTGTCCCAACCAGTGCTAGATGTTCACTTCTTGGAGGCTGCTGTTCGAGGAGAGCACTCGCAAGGGATTCATTGGCCAGATGTGTATGTAGATAGGTGAGACCTCAGAAGTCGCGACAAGTTTCCGGCCGCTAAGCTCCACACCGAGATAAATCATATTCGGCTAAAGACAGCTTGCCCGACCTCCGTGTACCACTCTTTTCTCTCGCTAGTACGAGATAACGATGTCCGCCATTTTCGTTTCCCTTTTTCCCGCGTTTTTGCTTTCTGCATTGCTTGCTTGGTTCTTCTGTTAAGACCATATTCCCATATTCTCAATGCCGCGCAACTTCGGACGCAAAGTAAACGTCGGCTACTTTTCGCAAGCCGCCAAATGCGGTTTCCACCTCCAGAAGGCCGCATACTGCACCAAACCCAGTATGTATGCCTTCACTCCTAGTCCCATCCTAGACTCGGGGCCATTTTGATATCCCCTAAATAACTCGAATATTGTAGGTCAAACTGACATCCTTCTTTCAGAACTTACCTTGACAGCCGAATGTGGATCTGTGCTTCGATTAATGCCATTGGGGGGCTCAGTCACACACGGCGTCGGCTCTTCTGACCAGAGCGGGTATCGGAAGAAACTCTCTGAATTACTGCACGGCTGCGGCTATAATGTCTGCATGGTTGGATCCCGTAAATCCGGCACCCATTTTAACAACGAACATGAAGGCTGGCGGGGGTATAGGATCGACCAAATCGAGGCCAGGGCGAGGCTATCAGCAGCAAAGTTGTTGCCGCATGTCTTTACTGTGAACGCTGGATCCAACGATTGTTTACAAGGATACAAGTTGACAGAAGCACGACATCGCCTTGGTCACCTCTTGGACACCCTCTGGGTTGCATCGCCTGGCTCAACCATTATTCTCTCAAGCCTACTGGTCAACCAGAACGAGGCCGTGCAGCAGCGGGTTGAGGACTTCAATAGTGAGACAGAGAGACTAGCATGCCTTTTGACTCTTGAAGGCAGGAAAATTGTTTTCGTTGACTTGCAAAGCAACGACGGGCCCGCCATGGAAGATTTGGTGGCGGATGGGACACATCCGAATGATGCAGGATATGAAAAAATGGCCTGGAAATGGCTAGGGGGCTTTCGGATGGCTTTAAAAAGAGGTTTCTTGCCCCCCGCCAGCAAGTCCCAGATAAGCTGAGTAGAGAATATTGGAAATGGGTTATTCACTACAAGAGAGCACCTATTGCATTCTGTCGGTCCAGAGTCGAGCAGTCGAGGAGTGTTGACTCTTGATTTTAATTGACAGAGTTGCGCATGTCTGTTCTCTCTAAGGTATTTGACGTAACTTGACAACAAAGATGGTGAGACTGATGCTAGCCAGCAACCCTTACGTGGAGCCTACCCCATGTATTGTATGTTGGTCCTATCTGGCTAGCCTAGTGCGAATTGCCCCATCAGGACTCCCAACTTTCTCGTTCAAGAAGTAGAGACAATCGTAGCCCATGGATGCTCAGTATCGCCGTACATGATCTCGGTGAGCCATTCTTTAAGAGTGGTAGTGATCTTCGCTCCCTTACCGGCGTCACCCATTGGCACACTGATATCATGCCCGCGATGGTGAATATGGGAAACCGCTGCGATGAAGTACTAAATTCGTCAGCGCGGGATCGAGTATTACGGTGATTGGTAAGTACTCACAGCAGTACCTGCGGCAAACGACTCCAATAGACGACCTTCAGCCGCGGCCTCCATGATTTCAGTGACTGTGAACTTGCGCTCTGACACTTCAATTTCCTCGCCAAGTCTTTCTCTCGCAAGTTCAAGGCAACTTCGTCTTGTAACTCCATCGAGGATTGTCTTATCATCCAGGGGTGCGGTAATGAGCTCCGTCTTGCCATCCTTGCGAACCCATACAACGAAGAAGTTGCACCCACCAGCTTCAGTGCATTCCCCATCTTCTCCGTAGAGCCACAAGACTTGATGATATCCTCTAGAAGCAGCTTCCTGTAGAACCAAGACCGAAGGCCCATAGTTCGCTCCGATCTTTGCGTACCCAAAGCCACCGACCCAGGCCCGAACAGCGTCTTTCGGAGACGAGTACAGTCGCATACCCCCTGGTGGTACATCGAGACGAGGCATATAAGCCAGAACGATAAACAGCATGGCTTCCTTTGGCGCTTGGACGCCCAGCTGAGGCGAAGTGCCAATGATCGTGGGACGAACGTAAAGAAAGCCGCCAGCCTGTTCCTCAGGGAGCCAGCGGCCAGCATCCACTGCCAACAGGCCGAGAACAAGTTTTTTGACCTCTCCAGGTTCGAACGTAGGGAGAGAGATCCTGGCGGCTGAGCTTCGTAGACGAGCAACGTTATGCTCGATACGAAAAACTCTGAGCTTGCCGTCGTGGCCTCTGTAGGCCTTCAGGCCTTCGAAGCACTCAGTGGCGTAATGAAGGCAGGACGCGGTTGGGAGTAGGTTAAGCGGACCATAGGGTTTCAACTCAGGTTTCGACCATCCGATGCCATACTTCCATGACGCAACAACCATATGATCTGTGCATATGCTCTGATCCGAAGATAGAATTGTGGCTTCGCTGGGAACAGGCTGCGGACTGCTCGTGAGGTTGTACGATAGTTGGCAGGCCCGTAGTGGATGTTCGGCGAGGTCAGAGGCCATATTGAGCGGAAAGAAGCTTGCTTGTGATAAGTGCTACAGTATAGAGTCTAGAGGAGGGCAAAACTAAGCCTTCCGCCTGGCGTTCGACACCGTTTGAAATGACTGGTAGAAGTAGAAGTCTGGTAGCAATTGAAGGGGAAAAATCCGCCATAAATGGCCAGGGCCGACACAAGACGCGGGAAGACGAGATCGCCCTCATTGCTCCTGGCCGCGTGGATAATGGAGCATTGTGGGGAGATTCAATACAGGCTGGGAGGGGTGGATGGTGTTGACTCGGTGAATATTCACGGCGCCGACATAAAGAAAATCATAGCTTCGGCCTCGACGCGATCGGCCGTTATCGACTAAGCACGGAACAATGTGTTTTTCTGACTCGTGAAAGACATTCTATGTGGATATTGGCCACGTTTGAGTGCAGTCGTAACTGGAATCACAATGCTGTAATCACCAGCGTGTGTGCGTATCTGCCCCAGCATCCTCTCCAGCCTCCGTTTCCCTCGGCAGGCTCCCCGGCGATCTCAAGTATCCACGACTGTTCTCATCTCAGGCACGACGTCACACTACTCGAAGCCTCTCTTTTACTGTCTTTCTTGTCTTTAACCTCGCCAGCAACAACCGCCATGAGAACTCATTTAAGCTGCTGCCTGTCCGCCATGATCTATTTAGCGCTATATCGAGATACGGAGGAAGGAAAAGTGTCAAACACCCAGACACGCGACATGGGCCAGCTTGTTGATCCGCACAGACGATGTCAATGCCACAGCTTCCTTAATCTCAACAGGCACCCGCAGATGCCCCCTTACTTGCGATGTTGATAAGAAGCTGTCCATCGCTTCCCAAACAGCCCTATTGTTTCTTTCGTCTTGTGCAATCCGGCCGTATCGCTCAATGCTTATTCCTTTTTTTGAATCAAGCCCTAGAGGCCTTATCCATTCTTTGAGGCAACTGCTTTTCATTCACTCCTTTTCCAGACCTTGTGCGCGATATTCCTACCTTAGTGAGCCACTCACAACAGATAGTCGTCGTCAAGAAATCATCAAGATACAATGAAGATCTCGCTTAGTCTTGGTTCGGCGCTGGCCGCCATTGGCATCGTCGAGGGGCACATTGCTGCTTGGCCGATGGCATGTATTGCCGAGTGAATCTATGCCTCGAACCACAGCCCTTCGTGGTAAGCATAATGCTAAAGAAGCCGATGACAGGGCGGGAGCAATACCGCAATAGACGATTCCAACACCAACCTTGTAGTTAACTCGCTCTACCGTCTCCCGAAAAACAAGTGGTGGATGCAAGCCGACCGCGGATGCGATAAGGTGCCCCCTCCAGCGGGCCAGTCCCTCAATCTACCCGCCCGGGGCAAGCTAACCGTCGATCTCGGAGCCAACCGCGGCAGCACGAGCTTTTCCTACGGCGGCAAGACCGTGACGCAGTGGTCGGACTGCAGCGAACACTCAGAAGATTGGCACGCGCCCGGGCCGGGCAAGTGTCTCGTCGATAACCCGGACGGGAAGGGAGTGGCGATGCACACGCAGAACTACACCACCACGGCAGGCACAGCATGTGCCATCAGCTATCAGTCGGATATCAAGAAGGTGACGATGAAGAACCTGGTCATGTTTGTGGTTGTCGAGCAGTACGTCCGGCCTGTGTGATGCGAAAGGTCAGCAACTGACTGTGGTCGAAAAAAGCACACCGTGGAAACGCCTGACTTCGTAACAAGTCCCGGACTTGCCTGCCTGCCCGGTGGGAGGTTGACACTGCGCCTGGCACTGGGTTCCAGATGGATGTAAGATCACCCTCGCTTGTGGCCTCGCTTGGCGCATTTGACTGACTCGTTCATGCACGATCGGAGAGGAAGATACTGACAAGCCAAAAAGGTACATGGAAAACTTCAGATGCAATGTTACCAGCGCCGTGTCTCCGAAGCAACTGGGCATCGCTAAGCCGCCCGTCGCTTGCCGAGACGATTCGAAGAAGTGTGTCGCTGGACCAAAGCAAATGATTGCTTGGAATCGTGAGTTGTCGAATGGCGATGACGCCCCTTTCCACGAGTCCAAGTGCTGACGTTCTCGTAGAAGCCGAAGGAAACAACGTGCCGGATGTCGGCTATAGCCCCGGATACAACGCCAGAATGGGCTTCAAGCCAGGTGCACAGAATGACATTTTTGTCTAGAGCGCATCGTCGGAACTTCACCTCCAGGCTCCAGCCAACCGTCTGCAAGGTTCCCGATGCGGATACGCACACCTTGACCGAGAGCGCTAGCGATAGTCACCGGTGACATGGGGTCTGGCCAGAGCAGTTTTGCGTAGTGAACTTTTTCCCATTTTCTGTACATATTGCTGCTCGTAAGCGAAGAAAAGAATTCACAAATGTCATTTCCTTTACCGGTGGAAAGTAGCGTCGACTACTTCACACACCGCCGAGCGCTCTTTCGCCAAAAGTTGCCTGGACTGATGCGAGGCTTCGAGTAGGAACCCCTGATGAGTGTTTGCGGGGGGATCATCATGAAGCGACATGTCGGAGGCATGACCGGATCTGAAAACTGATATCGTGAAATGAACTTGTCATCTTATTTGCAGCTCGGTCCTTTCAAATATAGTACGGCCGTACCCCTGCGAGGAAACATGGCCGAGCACAAAGCCTGAAGCGCATCATCTTGTTGCAGTCGAATAGGTGCAACATGCACAAAGCTGTGCCACACCAGCGACAAGAATGCTGCTACACCGACATGCGACCTCTCACCGTGCAAGGTGCGATGGCAAACGACGTGGGGACGGCTTGACGAACGACTCGAAATATTTCGGATGTGTGGGGGGCCCAAGCATTTCCTGTCATCTGAAGTCAATGAGGGGTATTGCTTGTCACGCTCGACGTCATGACGTGAGACCATAGCTTTGACGGCGCGGGAACGGATGAAGTCTAAACGCTTAAGCCAACTCCAAAGGCTCATAGCCTCCAAATTGCTAGTAAGCCTTTCGCGCCGGCTTCAGGCCCGGACCTGGCTCACCGAAGGACCCTCCGGCTTGTCACACTCGGCATCTTCGAGCAAGATCGATTTAATAACACCATCAGCGTCGTCTCAGGCTCTCGGGTGGCACACGGGGAGTTTGGATGCAGCAGCCGGCGGTGGCACGTCGCTCCACGCGCCCAATCCTCTGAAGGGCACAAACAAGGCGGAGTCTGTAATGAGTATGGGGTGCCGACTTGCACCACCCAAAATTCATCATTACTTCCAGGAGGCCTTAGTCTTCCTCCTTCTGTCGCTTGTTCGTAGTATGCATGTACTAGGAGGTGTGATACAGCTCGATGCGTTAGTCGCGATGTAATAACCAGCCTGTCGATCGGGAGGCGGAAGCAGGGCCTCATGTTCGAAGGAGGCGGCGTCTCGATATCTCCCATTACAGACGGGGGTCGGCGGAAAGCTAGTCATTCTTGGCCTCATGTCGCGCTCGCCAATAGGGACGCATCCGTCTAACGCGGATGCAGCGCAAGACTACCTGAGTTTGGGGTTGGTGTTTATCCCGAATCCGATGTGTACATCCTTGGAGTCAACTGATAAAGCTGTTCTTCTACCTCCGCAATCCCGAAAAAGGCAAGTGGATGTGTGGCGACAGCATCCTGGGGCAAAACAACGTGGCCCCGGCATGGGCCGTTCCACTGGCGCAGGTTCCTTGTTGACCGCTAAGCCAGACTCGATTGAGTTGGCACGTTAAAGGGTTTATGTGACTGCGGGACCTGGTTATCTCTGAGAGAATAGCACCCCAGTGGGTCGTTGAGTGTCCGGCATGCTGGTGCCGGATGCACGCCTTGCTTCCGCGGGGAAGGCTAGAAGCTTGACGGATACATTGCCAATCGCATTGAAGTCGCCCGAACAGGTTGGCGCCAAGTAGCTGGAAACTCCACGGCAATGAGTTCGTCGTAAGGCATCCGCAGGCAACTTGCAGCCGGTCTTGTCATGCGAGGCTAGAATGGCCGACGGACTGGTGGGTGAAGCGGTGGTCCAAGTTCACCCTCCCACGATCCTGAGGAGTCCCTCAGAGACGCAGGGCCGGTGAAACCGACGAGTCGCAGTCCGACTCCTTTTCGAAATGATCCCGGGGATCTCGTCCTTTCTTCCCATACACATCCTTGGGCGGGTTGTTCATCGATTCGGCACTCCATCCAATGGGATTCGTCCCACGCCTGGTATTGGGACTAGATCCATAGGACCGGCATACTAGAGGCCACTGTCAAGGCTTTAGCCATCTTTTCGTGAGATTGAGGCCCGGAAAACTGGTGTGACTGCAGAGCCCTTCCTTTTCGACACACGCTCTATAGTACGATGGGCGATTGAGTGCGTTGACCGTGGCCTCACGATCAGCCGTCAGCCATAAGTACGTGCGACCCTGCAGTGAACTCTAAGGCTTTCTCTCTTACAATCAGAGCATTGACACTGGGTCATCTGCAACAGCAAGTCAGCGGTCATATTACTTTCCAATTAGTTCCATTGAGACGATACATTTCCCATCCCTCTCTCTCGTCATAAAATACCTTCGTAGCTGCAGCATGCCAGCCTCAGACGTCTCTGTCCTTGTCAACGGCGCTTCGGCGACAAGGTTCGTCACGCTGTCTGACCTTTCCCGCTATTCCCCAAAGTCTAATCCATTTTAGAGCGGCGGCGAATTCCGCGTATCAAGCCGCACAGTCTCAGTACCGTGTCACTGAATTTGTCAAGACGGATCCCAGCTTGTACCGAAGACTCAGCCAGAGCGTGCCGAACGGGACCGGAGAGTACGAAGCTCGTG